CGATAATCAGAAAACTGACAGAGTCAAGCAAAACGAATGATGACGAACAACAACCGCAGAGATGGCAACCGAGCTGGCGACGCACTGCATCATCCAGTGTTACGCATTTTATTTCAGCCTTTCCGGGCTAACAGACGTTGCCCATCATTCCAGACTTTGTCATCGTCATCATCATCATCATCGTCGTTGTCGTCGTCGTCGGGAAAAATCACATCAATGTCAGTTTGAGGTTTTTGCCATTCGGATGTCAGTTTTGCCTTTCACAGCTCTCACAATTGGTGCCTTTTGTGTGAATGCATTCATTCGTTTTAATTGTTTAAAATGTCAACTGAAATTTAGATCGGATTGTTAGTAGTGCAAATTGCTCAAATACCACAATTGATACTTGCAGTCGACATTATCTCATCATACACTGGACAGCAACAGAAAGATAGCTAAATTATATATAATTTATAATGGCGGACTTTAACTCAGCACGTCAATTGCTTTGTGACACTTTTGGATGCATTTATTATTGCAAACATTTGTAGTTGTATGTGACAGAATACTTATTTAGTTTTATAACACTGGCTGCCTTCATTTATTGGTAGAGTCTAGTATAAACTCTTGTAAGTTTCAATTGCTTACATAGATGTGTAATTATATGTTTATATATTAATGTTTCCTTTAGGAAACTCTAAAATGCTCCATTTCTATTCTTCTAAGGTGTTTTACAACACTGGATTTGTTGTTAAATTTTGCATACTTGCATACTCATTCTAATTTTAAATAGTTTCTTACTTAAAATATATATTTCATGAGCAAAAAATTTGCTGGAATTGAAGTGTTTAGCCATATTAATAGTATGTATCCTAGTGTACGTGTGTGTGTGTGTCTAAGTTAAGCACATTTAACTGGCGATGACAGCGATACTCATCCTCATCATCATCATCATTATCGCTACCATCATCATCCCCATACGCATTCATATGCATGTGACACACAAAAGTAATTTCATTTAATTGCCGCAAATTGACGCAAGAGTTTGTAATTTTTTTGCTGAACACAATGCACTTGAGACTGGCTGCAGAAAAATGTTTATCAAAAACAAAACGAAAGAGTGTCCTCCCCCTGGCACGCCCTCATGCGCTGGCCAAGCGCGTGGGCGCGATTAGTGGCTTACATTTGTGAGGCTTGCCCCAATTTCATGGCATTTAATTAGCATTTTGTAATACATTCGGAATACTCGCGAGTATTCTGACTTGTCGTCGTTATGGTCGTTGTTGTTGTTGTCATCGTTGTTGTTGTTGTTTTTGTTGTTGTTGCAGTTGTACTTTTCATTTTAATTAAATTGCTCGACTGCCCAGCGGTCGTGGGTCTGATGACTGCATGACAAATGCCGGTGAGCACTTTAATTCTGGTGTGGTCTCTGCTTGGGGTTTCATTTATGCAAATGCGATCCGGACTAATCGTTTGGGGTCATGGGAATACAACCCCCAGTGCATATGCTAAATAGCATAAAAGCTGGCGAGATAATTTGAAATGGTTGAAAAAATAAATAGATGTGTATTTTCAATAAAAAAAAAAGAAATTTTGTATGCATTTTTTAGGTACTTTCAGGTGAATACAAAATTGGATATTTTAATTTGATAACACTAAAATAATAAATTTTTGTTAATACATACATTTTATATTCATTCTCAATATTCCCAATAGACCTGAATAAAAATATTAATACAAACGATATAAATAGATAAAATATATATAGTATTTAGGGCGAAAAGTATATATGATAATAGAGTTTATATTGTTATATATATATTGGGGCGAAAAGTATATATGACGATGTTTATATTGTATTATTTAATATTGTATATCCGCCCTCTCTCTATCCCTCGCTCTCCATTCTTCTCATTTTGTGTCTCGCTTCTTCCATACAAAGGAGTTTGTTGTTGCAATATAAAGAAACATTTTGTTGTTTCTTAAAGTGTTCAACAGCTAACACCTTTTACCGGTTTTTGATACCTGCAATTATGATGTATTTTTCTCTCAAGCACACGGCGCTCTTTAATCATATCACTAGCTGAATCATTTCGTTTGGCTTGTCTCGACGCGATGACAAGCAATTAAGAGCATTTGAAGTATGTTGTGTATAGTTGTCTTTCGTCTTGGTCTTCGTCTGCTTCGAATACGGCGTGTTCTTTTGAGTGCCGCAACACCTGCCCATTTAGTAGACACGTGGTAAATAAATATGTGTATGTGTGTGTGTTGGATTTGCGTCACAGTTAAGTGCCACATTTCAACACCTTGAACAATGGAAGCCAGTTTGTTGTTATTTTCCTTTCGTAACGGGCAAGGCACCCACTTAACCCATTTTGGTGGCAGCAGCAGCAGCAGCAGCCAAATGTGAGGGCGCGTCCTGTGGAATTGATGGTACCCCAGATGATGGGCAGGTCGAAAATAAAACAGACAAAGCAGAGAGAATGAGAATGTGAAAGTGAGAAGGGGAAGCCCCTAGATACATGCGTATAACTAATGACCCGCGCGTAGACTTGATGATGACTGTGCGTCTTTTCTATTTGCCCCATGGGGCAAAAACAGCAACAACACCCACTCTACTCACTCTACATATATCTCTCGCTCTCTTTCTTTCTGCGAGCCCCATTTAATTGCCACAAATTAATTAAATTAATGAAATGTTTGCCATTGCATTTTTATGCCAGCCACAGTCCGCTAGGATTGACTAACACGAAACTAGGCTACGGACTGGAATTGTGGCCCTGACGCCTGTCCCCCCGTTGGATGACAAATGATATGCTTAGAGGCGAAATTGCAGTGATAATGTTATATTTATTTATTCATCTCATTTAATGTTGTCTGCTCAAACGGGAGGCAGCGCCCAGCTGGCAAATTAATTTGATATTGCGAAAACATGAAATTAAATGCAAGAGATGCTATATACAATAATTTTGATCTAAATACATATGGATATATGTTACTCTGTTACTTCTTTTATGATGCTTATAAAGTTGTTTGTTGGGGCTATAAAAAAATATACACGAAATTGTGGATCGCTCCATTGCCCCCTCCGTTAAAATGCGCGTTTTATGATACGCTCATTAAACAAAAGGCAAATTTTAATGGAAAAAAAAAACTATATATATATATACATATATATATGGGTATACATACATATAGAAATATATTCAAAGTGCTGCCAACTTGGAAACAACTAAACAACCAAACTGAATATATTTTCGAGCAAAATTTGAATTGACGATAAAAAAAAAAAGAATCGGAATAAAATAGGTCAAGCTTAGCTGGCTTGCATATGCATTTAAATACGTTCAGTTGCAAATTCTAAAATTTTAATTAAAACAAAATATATGTATAAATATGAATTTTTTAATAACCAGCTATAGCTATCGAACAAGCACGAATTCAATTGAAATGGCTCGTCGAACTTCATTCGCAATAGCCATTTAGATTGCAACCAGATAAATAGAGCAAGAGAAATGTATAATTATATATATACATATATACATATGTGTATTTTATTTTATCAAATTGATTGGAAAGGTAGACCACAGAAAACATGGCCGCCAAACAAACGGGTCAGCCCAGCATCGTACGCATCCGGAGCTCTTTGCGGCTCACACTCGCCGCACGCGAGGCTTCTACTTGTTGCGGCACACTGACGCCATCTGGCGGCGATAGTAAACGTTTGGACGGAACATGGGAAAATTTCCGTCAGCGCTCACTCCTCTGAAACAATAAATGTCATATGGCTGACACATCAACACTTTATGTGTCGCCTTGCCATATGCCAGATGCCACGCCCACGCCGTAGCATACAGCCGTCAGAGGAACAAGTTTTGCTGTCCATCTCGCTCTCACACTCACACACGCAAACAGCCATACAAATGAAAGTCTTGCACGCTTTTAATTTTGCCTGAAAGTATGCAGCTTGAAAGGAGGCGGAGAGCTAGCAGCTAGGAGGAGGCTGGGCGCATGGGTGGGCGTTTTGTGTGACACATTTTTATGAGCGAAAGCAAAATGAAATAAAAATTATTGCCAAAAACCAAAATAAAGGATGAGACCGAGCACATAAACAAAGCGAGCGGCAGCTACAAGGCAAACGGAAACACCCCATAGAGAGCTACAGCTCGACTAGCCTGATAGCCCCTGGCCTGGCGTGGCCCGGCCTGGTCTAGCCTCCTCCCTCGCCTGTGCTACATGCTCGTCACTCACTTGGAATTTTTGCGTAATTTATATTTTGGCTGCTGTGCTTAGTGACGTCAGTGCTTTGGGGGCTGGGATTGGGGGTTGGCATTTGGGCTTCCTTCTAGTGCCAGCTCCAGATTCTGTGGGAGGGTCTCGCTCGCTGGCTCGCTGGCTCGCTCTGGCTTCTTCTGCTTTGTAGTTTATGGCTTCAATTTGCCCAAATGAGTCGTTAATTTTGACTTTTCATGTGACACCCGCAACCCACCCTCGCCGAGGTCACAATGCCATGGCGACCAAGGCTCTCTTCTGACCAGCTAGACCCGACCCTTTGCTGAGTTAGTTTCCCAGCCACTTTTATTGTAATTTTGTGGCCTTTAATTGAATTTTATTAGCATTTGTACTTATTATTTGCTCTTCTTGCTTTCCCCTGCTTCGTCTCTCGCTATGCACATTTAATCGTATACTTTATTTCCTCAGCTATTTTCTTGGGTCTGTCTCCTATGGGGGGAGAAGTCCTCTGGCCCTTTGTGTGCTAATAGAATATGCTATTTGTTTTGGATGAGCAATTTCGTATGGGCTAGAGACACCGGATACTAGATGAAAAAGGCATCATGGAATTGTATTTAGTAATTACTATGATTATTTAAGTGCTGCTGCCTGAAATATTACCAAAATTTCATTTGACTAACTTTTCTCTTATATCTTTTATCTCTTTACAGGTAAGTGCTTGTGAGTGGAATTTGAAGTTGTTTAGGAATCCAAGCGTGAAATCGCTCTAAATGTTTGGGTAAGAAATGTGCTTAACTGAGTTGATCTCATAGATTTTACGAGATTATTTGGCATACTGTAGTGAACTATTACCAAGTGGCTAAGAAGGAAGTTAAAATTGAAATTTGTTGTCAATGGAAAATGGCTTTTTCATTAATTTTATAAAATATTTCCTGATACTAGATATGGGCCTCTGGCTGAGAGATGAGTTTTCCGGTTACTTTATAGATTATTCAATTAAGTTCCTTAAAGTAAATGGCAACTCTGTCATAGAGAAATGGGATTTTGCTGTTCAATTTTCTCATTACTTTCCTTAAAAGGAATGTTACCATTTTTTTTTATCACGCTTACGTCTAATTGGACAGCTCGAACAAAGATGGAAACTCTATACAAATTATGGTTAACAAATGCAGCCTTTTCCAGTGTTGAACAACGAATGCTCCACTTTAAAAACTAAAGAGAAAGGAAAACATTTGCTGCGTTTCTACTAAAATTTTTACTACAAAACATCAAAACATAACAATATTTATATGTGTGTAATACTAAGTTTGAGTTTAGATGCCCGATCCAACTGCAGAGTGACTCAGAAAAGTATGCTAACCGTTAATAAGTAACTACGCAGCCTATCTCTAAATGCGATATCTTTTCGCTCTGATGCGATTCTTGCGTTTCTTACGTGTCGTCAGCTTGACGTATCTCATTTTGCCGCCATTTTGTCCTGGTCTGGTCGAGCTCGTTGCCGGAGCGCTTGGCCGAGCTCGCTGACGTGGTCGTGGTCGTATGGGCGTGGCCTTAGTGGGTCGCGGATAGCTGTTGTATGCAGCTGCGGGCGTGGCCTGCCAAACAGATCCGCCTGTGGGATCGATGTTGTCATAGTCATTGTACATGCTGTCAGTGTTGCCATATTCGTTGTATCTGCTGTCCGTGTATGCAGTGCTGCCATATTGATTGTACATGCTGCCATAGTAGGGTGCATAGGACTTGCCGCCGACTTCGTTCAGAAAATCATCGACACTGGGCACCGAACTAAGCGCATTATGTTGTCCACTGAATGCTGCGGCGCTGTCGTCCTCGTTTTCGCCCAGCTCTGCCCAGGATTTGGCTGCATCCAGATACTGTTCGTTGGGCTCATCTGGCTCCGCGTAGCGCGTGTCCATCTCGTCCTGGTAATCGTCGAACTGCTCCCCGCTGTTCGACAGCAACTGCTGCGGCTTCTGTCTGGGTCTGTTCTGCGGCTTGCTCAAGTGATTGACCTTCTTGCGTTTTTGCTGTCGGCCCGCGAACTTGGCTAGATATTCGCGCTGCAGGGCAGCCATCAAGTTGCCATTGAGCAGCTCATTGTTCTCGAGTTCCGGTTCCAGTTCCGTTTCAGTCTCCGGTTCCGCTTCCATTTCCATCTGCTGTTGCAAACGCTGCTGCTGTGCAGCTTTGATGGATGTCAGCAACTGTTGCAGCAATTGCTGCTGCTGTAGCATTGAGCTGCCGCTGCTGCTGCTGCTGCCGCTGCTGATGCTGCTGCTGCTGCTGCTGCTGCTGCTGCTGCTGCTGACACTGCTGCCAAGCTTCACTGTAGCTGGCGTTGTTGATGGCAATGTCGCCTTCAACTCTGCCCCCTGCTGCTGATTGTAGTTGTCAAACAGAGCGGGCCCATACTTCGGCTTCAGTGTGGCCATCGACATGGCCATGGGCGTGTCGGCCGTGGCCATCAGTTGCTTTACGCTGGACGCCATGCCGCCGCTGCCGCTCGCCGTTGTCGTGTAGCCCAGCAGCGAGACATGCGGCTTGCCCATGGGCGGCGCGGCAACGGGCATCAGTTGTTGTGGTGGCACCACTGGTAGGGGGAAGTGCTTGTAGACCTTGTGGAAGTGCGTGTGCTGGCGCACAACTTCCGGCATGTGCAGACGTATGTGTACCCTGGGCAAACAGATTAAACATTTACTTTGAATGCGCTGTTTTTGTCTGTGATTGAAAGGGGTATATTGGTTCGGTCAAAGTGCAAGTAGAGCTGGAAGGCTATAAACTTGCAACACAGATTCGTGTCTATTTTTGAGTTAGAGTATAACTAATGATTAAGTGGAATTTGTGAATCATGGTATCAATGAATCAATTATATAGATAGAGAGAGTATGGCGCAGTTAGTTACAACCGTTGCTCTTCTTCATTTCTGTTTTTTTTTTTTTTTTTTTTTTTTTTTTTGGCTTTTGGTTTGGTGTCCTTACCTCTCGCCACTGTTGCCAGCCGCTGTGTTACCTTCTAGCCTGGCCACAATGAGCCACAAGATGGCAACCGATATGCGAGCGGACATGACAAAAGTCCTCTCCTCCTGTCTCTCTTTGGCGTCCTGTCTCCTGCTCCTGCTGCTATTTGGTAATCCTGGCGTTTGGACACGCTTATAGCTGGACAACTTCTGACCGAGGCCGCTGTAGACTTTCCCACTTTTATTGACTTTCGCGAGAGAAAAACAAAAACGAATGAGATGACAAAGCAGACAGCGAGCGCACATATCACATTTCCTCAGTGAAGCAGGAGCCGTAAGGGGCATTGGGTTATCCAAGTCCAAGAAGAAGATGGAGGCGGCATCTGGCTCTGCTTCACCTCACGTTTCCAGCTGCTGCACTTTTGTGAATGCAATTTTCCATTTACTTCAGTGCGTTTGTCTATGCGCGGCATCAACTATTTCTCCTAATGCTTTGTGTCATTCAATAGCAGCGAAGAGGGTCCCCCTCCTGTGCTCCTCCTGCCCCCGCTGGAGTCATTGAAAACGCATGCGTAACGTTTTCAATTTCATTTTCAAACTAACGCAGTTCATGTTGCTCTCTGTTGTGCTTTTCCTTACTTTTGTTTTGCTTTTCGCTGCACAGTCTTGCGTTTCGATTGGTGCTCAGCTGTCGCGTCCATAGATGCCATAAAAGTGAATAAACCCAAATGAAACCCAGAGACAAGTCCAGACCAAAGACCTTGACAATAACATCGAATGGCAGGCGCTGGAGAAAAAAAGTCGAAAATGCTTTAGAAAACCAGAAAGGTCAACAATGGAGTCAGAAATTGTAAGAAAAGTTTCAAGCTCCTTTTCCAGGTAATGTTAATTGACAAACGAATAAAAAATGTGAGATATGAGAAAATGGAGACATAGAATACAACAACATACAACATTTTTATTCAAGTCTTGTAAAAATACTCGATTAATTTTCATTTCAAGCTGAATTCCAAATCTACAAATTTATCTTTCATTTTCAATTGGCATAGAATGCCTTAAGCTCGTAGTAGTCTTTCACAGCGTAAACAGCTTGTTCCGGCTTACTTAACCTTGGTTAAGTTCCAAAAAATAGCTTGAAAATAGCCAAGCAAAATAAAAACAAGTAAGAAGGCTCCAGTCGAGACTGCTCGACTAGGAGATACCCTGAACCCTCCAAACTGATATTCTAATCATTCTGGACTTCTTTTATGCACACATACATACACATGCACGTATAAGCACGCGCTCTGCAAACTGCGCAGCTAGCAGCGGCTGCGCTTGGGCTGCACTGCAGTGTGGGCAATATTATGAGAATTTATTTGTTGAATAATTTCTTTGGTAGACATACGATCTTAATGAAACTTTCAGAGCGTAATCATATGGCTAAAATGTGTGTACATTCCAAAGCACAAGTCTCTAGTACTTGAAATGCGTTTTACAAATTGGGGGCGAAGGGGGCGTGGTATCCAAAATCTGTAAATTGCAAAATCTTTGTATCTATTAACTTTATATATAACGCAAGTTTGAAGTCTCCAGGTCTAAAAGTGTTCAAACTAGGCTGAAAAAACCAAGTCGATTTTTCGATTATTCTCGATAAAAAAGTTATCGGACGAGTTATCGACAAAATAAAGCAAACTTGTACTGCCTATGGTATACACGAGTATGCATGCCAAATTTCAGCTCTCTAGCTCTTATAACTTCTGAGATCGACGCACTCATACGGACGGACGGACGGACGGACGGACGGACGGACGGACAGACGGACAGGGCTATATCAACTCAGCTCGTCGCGCTGATCAAGAATATATATACTTTATGGGGTCTGCCACGCCTCCTTCTGCCCGTTACATACTTTTTCACAAAACCATTATACCCTGATTTCCCATTTTCAATGGGTTCAGGGTATAATAAAAGAAAAACGAACTTTCATGCGCTTTTCCAAGTCACTAAACAGCAAAATGTAAGCGGCAAATCAGCGGAGGCGAAGGGGTAAGGTGCAAATCGTCTGCAAGTAACGCATTTCTGGCAACACCCACGATAAGGCAACGTCTGTTCAAGGTTGGTGTTTACTTTGGTGATTTTCCCGAAAAAGAAAAAGAAAAGGGAAAAAACCTAACAAAAAGTAATGCGACGAATGAAAGTGTTTTGCTGTGGCCAAGGATAACCACAAGAAATGCTTAAGAAAACTTTAAAAATGGCGCTGCCTGGCATTGAAATGGAGTGGAAAAGGGTTTTCCCACAAAAATGGAACTGCTCAAGTAAGAGGTGGGAAAAACTGAAAAATAAACGTTCCAATGGCTTTTTATACCCTGAACCCATTGAAAATGGGAAATCAGGGTATAATGGTTTTGTGAAAAAGTATGTAACGGGCAGAAGGAGGCGTGGCAGACCCCATAAAGTATATATATTCTTGATCAGCGCGACGAGCTGAGTTGATATAGCCCTGTCCGTCTGTCCGTCCGTCCGTCCGTCCGTCCGTCCGTATGAGTGCGTCGATCTCAGAAGTTATAAGAGCTAGAGAGCTGAAATTTGGTATGCATACTCGTGTGTACCATACGCAGTACGAGTTTGCTTTTTTTTTCGATAATTCATCCGATAACTTTTTTATCGAGAATAATCGAAAAATCGGCATTGTTTTTTCAGCCTAATTTGAACATGTTTAGACCTGGAGTCTTCAAATTTGCGTTGTATATAAAGTTAATCAATACAAAGATTTTGTAATTTACAGATTTTGGATACCACGCCCCCTTTTCCCCCAATTTGTAAAAAACGCATTTCAAGTACTAGAGACTTGTGCTTTGGAATGTACACACATATTCATCATATAATTACACTCTTAAAGTTTCATTAAGATCTTATGTCTACAAAAGAAATTATTCAACAAATAATTTCTCATAATATTGCCCACAAAGCAGCGCAGCCCAAGCGCAGTCGCTGCTTACTGCGCAGTTAGCAGAGCGTAGGCTTATGCGTGCGTGTGAATGCATGTGTATGTATGTGTGCATAAAAATGCAGAATTATTAGAATATCAGCTTAGAGGGTTCAGGGTATCTCCTAGTCGAGCAGTCTCGACTAGAGCCTTCTTACTTGTTCCACTTATATCATGTTGCTGCTGCTGATGATGATGATGATGATGATGATGGTGATGTTGCCTGAGCTATGATAATAAAAATAATAACGATAATGATAATAATAATGCGTGAAAAATATGCTTCCAACAGCAAGAAGACGTGGAAGCAGCATAAACAGAACATATACACCGTTAAATGCCCAGCTTGTTGCTTCCTATACTTACCTTTTTCTTGGTGCAGGCTGCTGGCCAGACGTGACAAGCAGCAGATAAAAGAGGGAAAGAGGAAAAGGGAAGAGGAAGCGATGGCGGGGGGCAGCAAGCGTTGGGGAAAAAAGAGGTTGAGAAAATGTGCTTTGGCCAGATGGTAGCGAGTGTGAAGGCAGAAGCGTAAAGATTAACAAGTCATGATTATTAGAGCTGAGATGTTGTCGTGAGAGCGGTGGTGGAGGAGGAGAAGCAGCAGGGGTAATTCAAGAAAAACAGTATAAAAGAGTTGGAGCAGAATGTGTTGAAAATGATTATAAAGTTACGAGCAGCGAGCCGTTGATTGGCTGCCTACCTCAGGCTGACCTTTAATTTGAAGTGGTTTTCCAGGCAACATGTCTCCCTGGTCACGTAAACATGTCTGTATGCATGTTGCGTGCTCAACATTTGACCCGCAGAGCAGCAAATGCAGTTTGTTGCTTGCAGCTTGTTTCTCACACAAAGCGAACGATGATGACACGCAACATTTGCGGCTGGCAACATGAGCAATTGCAACATCGCACGCTATACGCATAAGTGCATGCTGTCAACATGTTGCAAAGCTGACCTTGGCCTAGGCAATCCCCGCAACCCAAGCAAGCAGCAGGTAGCAGTTGATCATGCGCTCTCTTCCGCTCGCTCTGTCAACATGTTGCCTGGGCAACTAGTTCAAGCTCATGTTAATGACTCTTCTTCGATGTTGCCGCTCTCTTGCTCTGGGTCATTGTCTTGTGCAGTGTCTCTGTGTGTGTGCGTGTGTGTAAAGCTACGCTCATGTAAAGCTGGAGTCTGTTGTTGTTTTACGTTTTAGTTATTGTTGTCTGCCTTCTTTCCTTTATTTTTATTCAGCATGCTCATTGCCCGATGTCGCACCGTCTCGCTCTGTTGTTGTTTCGTTACGCATTTGCGTTCAGTTTTTAATTGTTGTTTATTTTCGCGTTTGGCTTTTTACCATTACTTTAAACACTTTTATTGCGCCTCATCATCATCGTAATGTTTAATGTTAAATGTTAATGTTAATGTTGTTGGTAATGGTCATCATCAGTTACGCCCCTGGGTCATTGGCATCTGTCGGTCAGTTGGCTGCTTACTTAAGTTTGCTTCCCTTTCGTTCGCCACTAGCCCTCTCTCTGTCTATCTCTGTCGTCTCTCATACGCCCTTTAATTGCAATCTTGAAAGCCAAACGCGCAGCCTGGTCGTTGGATTACCAGCACATAATTGTGTCTAGCAGTTGTTGATACCCTGTAAAGACTTTTATATAGGGGATAATCTATGCATAACCCGAGTATGATATAAACTGTATTTTTTTCTAAGTAAATAGTGCATATTTGAATGTAAAAGATTTTATTTTTACATTACTTATTTTAAGTAGCTATTATTTTTTGCAGGGTATTGCTTAGCCATGCTTATTTGTGGCAGTTTTTTATTTGTATTATTTTGATGATGTCACGTTGGGTGTAGCTGACAATGTTTCCTATGGCTTCCTGTCTTACCAACTTGTTGCTATTGTTCTTCTACATGTTGCTGTGCCGTTGCGGTTGTTGTTGCTGTTATTTTGTATTACATTTGTTGCTGTTCTTGTTGCTGTCATGTCCGGCGGCAAAAGTTTGTTCCCCACTCTCTATCGGTGCTTGTTGCTGTTGACCAATTATTTTCTACAGGCCATGGGGAAAATGCCTACAGAAATTCTTTGGGCTCTATATGTGTATGTATGCTGTATTCTCTGTGTCGTTGTTGTTGCTGTTGTCATTGCCGAGTTGTTAGCCATCATTAAAAGAATACCGTTACACACAATCATTTAACAGTAAGCGAACAGCAACAAGCCGTGCTCTAGCACAGTTTTTGTTGTTGTATAGGAATTCCTGTTATGCTTTCCTTCCTCTGTTTTCCTCACTTTTTTATTGGAAACGATTTGCATTAGCAAAGAGTGATGAAAAACTAGAAAAATGACTTCCAAGTTGAAAAAAAAGTAGTATTAAACTACTTGAGTAATTACAATCGATAGCAATAAATTTTGCAGCTCTAGCTTACCACTTTGATTTGGCTTTGGTAAAAAGTTGGAGTCTAATGAAAAAGTTCTTAAAACAATTCATTTATATTTAGAGTGAAATATAAAATGACAGAGTAAACATTATATTGTTCTTTCTGTATATATTCATAAAAAGGGAGTCAAAGGTTATGTGAAAAAATTGCTGCAAATAGTTTTTAGCCAGCGAAATAATATTGTTTAGTATCTACTATTCCGTTTTTCTCAATTCCATTCTCTATCAAACTCCGAGTGAAACTTTCACCTCCTTTATAAAGTTCTGGCACGTTCGACTCGCAAAACTTTGCCACTCTTTGCAACTGGAATTGCAACTGCCACAATTTGGCTTTATAATTTTTGTTTGTTTGTTGCCTCATTTTAGTGCGCTTCCTGGTTCTGCAACTCCGCTGAGATTTGCAATGCCAAACAGGCATGGCCCAGACATGATCTCCATAAATACATTCAAATACTCGTATGTCTCAGAGACTGGTTGAGCTTTCTAGTCGCTGAGTTCTTTTAAATGATGTCAGCTAAGTAGAGTTTTGTTTTTGTTTTTTGCTTTTCTGGTTTTTTTAGTTACGAGTTTCTGGTTTTTCCATAGCCACGATTTTCTTTTAGAGTCAAA